TGCTCCTTGGTGACTTGCTTCGGAGGGCTAACCCTGTATGCATTCCTTATTTGGCTTCCTCTCAGTTCTGTTCTGAACATTGCCTGCTCAGTTTCCTTTCCTTTCCTTTTTGCTTAACTTTGCAAATCACTGTCTTTTCCTTTATTTTCTCTCCCTAAATCTCTTCACCCCTGAAAATAATTTTGGGAATGGAAGGGGGTGAAAGCACTGTTGTGTGTTAAGTCATCACATGTTAGTCAGAAGGGGTCACTTAGTTTTCCTTTAGAGTATACCTGCTTATTACTGTCATCCTGTTTCTTTTTTCTTTCTGCCCTTCCCGTCCCTAAATTCTTCTGGGGACTTAATTTTATTGGTTTCTGTTAGCCCTTTGCACTGCTGCAGTGTGCCTTACTCTGCCTGAAAGTTCCTTGTGTGTTCTAGGGTTAATTTTGTCAGAGGACCAGTAGACTGTGTGTGGGAGTTGGGGTTGGCAGGGTTAGACTCGAGTGTAGAGACTCACATGGTCAGCATGAAGAGCTGCTCTAGAGAGACCAGTGTCAAACTGGAGGACATCTAGGACACATTTATGTAGGTGTTTTAACAATAAAACAGTGGAAATACTTAATACTTTAAATTCATGCAGCTAAAATGAGGTATTCCACGAGGCCAGGTATAAAGTGTCAACGTTTAAAAATACCAGTAACTTCTTAGTGCTGTATTGCCCAGAAGTAAGACGGTAGCCTTTTAACAACTTGGAATTTGAGCTATTTCTATATGATTGGGACTGTTCTCAAAGTGGACACTCCTGTGTTTTGAAATAAGGTTGGGGAGGGCCGGAGGATAATTTCTATTTTAACTTGTTAACATTGTTAACTTGTCCTATGGGACTTGTTAGCTTTTGACCACTGTAACCTACTCCATATAGAGTTCCCAGTAAGTGAATTTTGTGTTTGTTTACTCCAGCTAATAGCATGAGTTAGATTGGTAGTTTGGAAAAATGAAGCTTCATTTCTAAAAATTTAGTCTTATATACTACTAGTCCTAAATCAGAGAACTGAGAATTTGTTTTTGTATGACTCTAGGTGGGGTCATTTTGGCTTTTTGATGCTGTTTTTATTGGAATTTACCTACTTCTAAAGTTTTATTAGGCCTACAGACAACATTCAATACAAATGTGGGTGCTTTAAAAAATCTTTTATGCTGTTCATGGTAGTGCATGCATGTGATCTCAGTGACTTGGAAGGCTGAGGCAGGAGTAGTGCAAGTTTAAGGCCAGTTCGGCAAGCCAGCCAAGGCCCTGTCTCAATACAAAAACTGAATGAAAGGCCAGTGGGGGGGCACTTGCCTATATGAGCAGGACCCTAGGTTTCCATCTGAGCAGATGCTCTTAGTGTCAGTGCATGAATTCTTCACTGGAAAGCAGTTTATATCCGTGGGTAGGAATTCTCTTGTTTTTGGTGGGGAGCACTGGCGGGTGGGTCCAGGGTCTTCACACCGAACTGTCCTCAGCCCTTCTAAAAGTTTATCTGCTAAGTACTAACTTGCCCAGGCTGGACTCAGACTTCTCATCTTCCTGCTTCAGGCTACCAGAGCGCTAGGATTATAGACATGGCTGTTACATCCAACTTTGTTTTCTCTTTAGATGTTTCATCTACATTAAATTCAAATAAAATAAAACTAGAAATAATCCATTTTCAAAAGAGATGCGGTTTTTAAGAAAGTTTGATTGCCATGAGAGCATGAAGTGACTTCAGCTAATAATATGCGTGCGAGAGCTCAGTCAAATAATGAAGAAAAAAATGGTTTTGAGTGAGTATTGATACTGCACAAAAAGGAAGCTTACTCAAAACGTGAGATTCTTGAGTTGACTTTTAAAAACATTTTATAGTCACTTGTGAACTTTTCATCCATTTTGTAGGGAAACAAGAAAAAAGAATTTGCTGAGCCGAAATACATGAAAGCCATACTAATTTAAATTTATAATATAAACAAAGTAAGTTTCTTAGAAATTAAAAATTTATCAATATATTTGGTTCCTGACCATCAGGACTGAGAACAAATTTCAAATAACCTAATTACTTCAGCTTTGCTCTTCTGTGTATTTCTGTGCTCCTTTATTAAGGACACAAAAAGGGCAGAGAATGGATGTTTTCATTGATGATTGGTTCAATTTCACATAGCTTTGCTACCTAATATTAGAGGATCCTGACCTTACTTATTTCAAATCTTAGAAGTCTTTCCTGTAGCTATTGCTTTGATTTTTCATTAGAAAAAAATTACTGAGTTTTGTTACTATTTACTGTTTTGTTACTGTTTACTGCCTATTATTAAATATTGAGTTAGAATCATTAACTTGATGTTACTGTTATAGGTGTGTACCCTCTTTTGGGAGGGTCCTTTAGGCCTTTTGAATTAGTTTATTAATAAAGTGCTCATATATGATAAATATTGCAATCCAGTCTTTAAAGTTCTTAAAACTTTAGCAGTGTTTGCTCATTCCACAATATTTCAAGTGCAGTATTATCTGCCAGCTACTTTCCTGTGCCCCACCAGTCATTGAGACAGAACATTTGGAGAGTTTGAGGAGGTACTGATTAGTGGAAAAGCATCCAGGAATATCACCAGTTTCACGTTAGACCAGTAGCCTATCCGAACCCTTCTGTGTTCTGTTTTGTGCTAGAAAAAGCATTGAAAAGCCTTTTCCATCTGCAGAGATTTCCCTGCTGTGTGATCATCTCAAAAAAGAGAACCATGCCAGGAACTCTTCCTTCCTGCACTCTGGCTGGAGGCAGCTCTGTCAGGGACCGTCTCTGTCACGATCAGTCAAGTGCAGGTTCAGTCGGGCCTCTGTGGAAGCAGAGGTAGCGTATATACTTCCTGTGACTGCAGCAGGGTTTTGGGAGTTGTACAAAAGTTGTACATAGGTAACTGTTGAGTTTTTAACTGTTACATGCTTTTGAAGAGTTGGAATGTAAACATTTATAGAAGGGTAAATACACAAAACCACATAACCAGTTTACGAAAACAAAAGCTAGCAAAAAGGGCACAACTTGCAGTGTAAAAGAGAAAACGTTTACCTAGAAATTTTCCCTAACCAAGTCATTTGCACTTGTCGCTACATACCAACGTTGTCTTTTAAATTCAGGGAACACTCAGGGAACACGGGCTACTAAGACCCTGAAAAAATAATCACCTTTTAAATACGTGGTTTCATAGCCATACTTTCAAAGTGATTATTTAAACAGGAATAAATGCGTTTAGAATGATTACAGAAATTATTGATGTTATGTTTTAAAAAAACAAAAATCTCTGAGCTGTCTTAACTTTAAAAATATATCCTTTTTGAACAAATGCTATGCTGATACTGATTTAGAAAGAAGCAAAATGACCAATTCCCAAACTATGAAAATTTAGAAATGAGATGTAGAGAAAGGTGAAATTTTCTTAACTTTAACAGAACTAATCATTATTTTCTTGTATTTTTATTCTTACTTTTATCCTTGTATCTGGCAGTATCATGTGAAAATTTTAAATGAGTGAGTTTATATAAGACTAAAGCCAGTTAATGTGTTTATTTATTTGATATGAATAGTCGCTAGTAAGGTAGAAATTTTAAGTAGCAGAGTTGAAATCATTTATATTTGTAGTATATGAAATTCCTCAGTTAGTGTCAAAAATGACACTGACTGAGAGAACCTACTTTAAGTTACTACCATTGTCATGTCATGTGGAATACATCTTCTGTATCTCTCTGTGCTCTGGCTTTTCTTCAATAAAATGGGCTCGAGAATTTAATTGACTTCCTTCCTCCCTTTCAAGAATATTGAGGACAGACACCTGGAAGTCTTTAGAAAACAAAATGCTACCTTATGTATTTTTTGATACTAACTTGCCTTGTAAGTATGTGCTGTGTGTTATACACAGTGTTGCCGTGTGACATTGCAGACTTTATATGAAAATAGAGGTTGTTTGCATGCCTTTAATGTTGAACTATAGATATTTTTCTCTCTTTCCTTTTTTTTTTTTTTTTTTTTTTTGGTACTGGGGATCAGACTCACGACCTGGTGCCTGCTGGACAGGCGCTTATGCCTCTGAGCTAAATCCCCAGCCCTGTAAATTTATTATCATTACACATTTCTCTGAACTTTGATCTTGTTGATCTAATAGAGTAGAACTGTCCCTCTGAACGCATACCTCTTATGCTATTCCTGGAGAGGTGGTGGGAAGTAGAGGTACTAATATTTTCTGGAAGTCTCTTAGAAATGTAGAGAAATTGTTACACAGCTTGGTTAGGCATATACGTCCCTGATTTGTGATATACACAGGAGCGCCTCATCGTATAGGAATACATAAAGAGTCTGTGTTTCTTCACCTTTAGAGTTGCTCCCCCAGATTTATGCTGAGCCACAGGTTGACTCACGAGCAGGAGCGGGACAGAAGTTTTTATTACAGTGTGCCAAGCTTTGTGAGGAAGAGAGTCGCAGTGCTGCACTTGAAACCCCGTCTTTGTCTGTGGTATTGGCCCTGCTCTAGTCTCACCTGAGAGGGCGGTTCCCATGTCTAATGCAGAAGGTGTTGTGGCGTGAAGATGCTAGGGAGTAGAAACTATTCGAATGCTCTTGCAGTGGATGCCTAGATCCCTTAATGCTGAAATGGTTATTCAAATATGTGAAGCTATTTATAGCCGTTCATGTGAAAACGTTGTAAGTTGTCATTTTCTTTATATTTGCATGTGAGTGTTAATTTTCACTATCCAAAAGTTTTGTTGCATAACTCCCCTTATCATTAATGAGTGTTTTTGGTTCAAAAGTCCAGGGCCCTTTATAGAATTTTTAGGTGCTATTTTGTTAAATTTTCTGTGATGAAAATTATTCTTGTAAAGACGAGAAAAAGATGATGGTTTTTGTTTCTGGTTAGTATTTTGTGAAGTTTTAAAAATTTTCAGTTTTAGGAAAAAGGCCTCATGTGAGTTCTGAAACTGTTTAATGTTTTCTGATATTCATTGTTGTTTTTTTTTCCAGAGAATACGGTCAACAGTGGATGAAAAAGAACAAAAACAACTTCTTATGGATTTGGATGTAGTAATGCGGAGTAGTGATTGCCCGTACATTGTTCAGTTTTATGGTGCACTCTTCAGAGAGGTAGGACTAAACTATGTGGAATTTAGATAGTGAATGCATATCTAATTCGGACAGTTAGAGGATGGCTGTATTAATCTTCAGCCAAATGCCATGTGTGGATAACAAGCTAACATTTCAGTGTTTCAGTGTACAGTCTCGTTAATCTGTACATTAACTCATTGTCCCTTTATTTTTTTAAAATCTGTCGATCTATCTGTGTTTATCTGTCTTTTTGAGACAGGGTCTCTGTCTATCTATTTGCCTTTTTGAGACAGGATCTCACCATGCAGTTCAGGCTGGCCTTGGGCTCACTTTGTAGCCCAGGCAGGTCTCAAACTTGGAATGATCCTCCTGCCTCAGCCTCTTGAATGCTGGGTGTTCCTTTAATTAAATATATATTTTTCAATTAAGTCTATTCATACTTTTTTCTGACTGTCATTTGTATCATGATTTTTTTCTTAGTTTACAAATACTTTGAGTTTTAAGAACCTGACAAATCTAAATAATCAGTTTTATTCAGGTTCTATTTTTTGTTGCCCCTTAAATTTTACTGGTTTTTGTCATCATATTTACTATAAACCTTTATTTTTCTCTACCCACAATCATTAGTTACACTCATCAGACATGCTGATTAGTAATTACAGTGGAAATTGTTTTTTCTGACTCTGATATTTAGATTTTTGTGTAGAAACTAAACCTCTTCGTTTCTTGTTCTCGTGGTCACGTTTCTTTTGGCCTCTGGTTATTCTGTGTGCCGGCGGCCTCTGTCAGCCCCACACTCACTTCTGGTCATCCAGTTGCCTAAAACAACGAAACGAGTAAAGATCCGGCAGAGCTGGAGCTAGTTCAAAGGGACTGAATGGGGCACTTCATGGGACCCTAGAACGTCATCCAGACGTGTGCTATTTAGGGAGCATTGAGTGGGACAGTCGTTTCATATACTTTAAAACAAATACTAATTTTTTATTAATACCTGTTTGTGTACAGTGATTACATTTATTGTAAAGGAGTCTGTATGTGTGTATAACTCATGGTTTTTTTTTTTTGTCGCTTTCACTCTTAACAATATTATTTTTACCTTGACTATGTTAAAAGAAGGTGGGGTTGTACGAACTGGAAAGAAAAAATAAGCACCTATTTCTCTCTTTTGGGAAACAGGATTATAAAGAATGTAACATCAATGTTTTCATTGTTACTGGCTTAAAGTTTAATGTTTCTTTTAAGCAGAGCTAAACATATCACTGAATAAAAAATATGAAATCTCATTACTGGAAAAGATACTAGCAGTCAGTTGTTCCTTAACTTAGTGTTGAAATTTTTATTTATCTTAATAAGTAATTTTTTTCTATTTGATGACAGATAGCCTTTCTTGATTGAATCACGAATTGTTATTTCTAGACTACTATACTTTCTTTCCACTCCCTTTACTTTTTAATGACTTACCTATTTTTAGGGCCAGCTGTAGGGAATTTACTAATTTTCTTCATTTCACAGCAGTGTTACATCATGAACACGTGTGTGCACAGTTCTATTCTGGGCCTACGTGTTGTATAAAGTCTTTCTGTTACAGGATGACAAAGCTGGAGTTTTCTTCCTCTTGTCTTTTCCTTTTCCCTTACCCCTGTACAGTGAACCTATTTGCTGTAAACATTCACTTCTCTGGTCCTTGGACTCCTTGTGTCTCAGAATACTTACTTAGTGCTGAGCTAGAATTTTAAAATCCCTAACTAGATTGCACAGTCAGATACCTCATTATGCTGTTTAGAGCCGCAGATGTAATCTAATTTTTCCACTCGGAAGGCCAGTGCTACTGACAGCATTCATGGGAATAAGCCGTCCTTTTCCCACTGTTTGCTTTGTTACGTCTGTCATCTGTCACATATCTGTATGTGTGTAGTTCTGAATATTCTATTGGTATAAAAATGTCTTTATAAAAATATCTTTCCAGTAGATCGGTCTCTCTTTGAAATTGTCTGAGCTACTTTTGGCTCTTCTTTTCTATAAAAGTTTTAGGGTCCGTGAAATTTTTAATCACAGTTCAATTGAATTTTGGGGGAGAACTTTGATAGCTTTATGATGTGAATTCTTCATGTCTGTAAACACTGTCTTCTCCTTTTGGTCAGGTTGCTGTTACAACCCTTAGCCACATTTTACAGGTTTTTTGGGGGAGGGTAATGTTACATTCTTGGGTGGCTTATAAAATACTGTTTTAAATGGTGCATTTTTAAGCATTTTCTAACTGATTATTGATTTTATATACATATTGGCCTTATTTGGAACTACCTTTAGGAACCTTATGTCATCTTGGTAATACAGTATGTCATCATGTCCCACTTTTCCTTTTCAGGAAATTTATGTTCAGAAATTGCTTCAGGCATGTGATTGTCCCTGTTTTGGTTTGAACATGAAGATGATACTGCTATCAGTAATCTTTTTAGGCAACTCAGAACATTCCATTTGTCTCCGTGTAAATGTAGTTTTTGTTTTTGTCGGAGATCAGTCCAGGTTAGGTTATGTAGGAGTGAGGTGCTCTTCTCTCCTTCTCTTCTCAGTGTCTTTCCTGTGCTCCCCTGTCCTCAAATCTTTCTCTTGGGCTTGCCTGTTTTCCATCACTGCCTCCTTTAATTTCATAATCATCAGCTGCCACGCCTTGTGTTTTATACTGTGTGTGTGCCGACTCACCTGGCCTGTGTCGCGGTCTTGAGGAGGGGGCTACCCTCATTTCATAGCTGAGGAAGCGGGGAGACACAGACCGACGTGGTTAGGAAAGCCTGGACAGCGAGTGAGGACTTTCAGGTGCTTCGTGTAAGCCACCTTCCGCTGTGGAGGTGGTGTTTTCCTTCGTACAGGCTTTTTAAGTGTCTTGTATTTTTCTGTAATAACAAATTATTGTAAATCTGTTGAGATGATATCTTTAAGTTAAAATAAATGGGTATGTTTTAGGTAGAGGGTGTTAATCTTTGATGAGAGGAATTTTCTAAGAAGACTGAAGAAGAAGAGACTTGGATGTACAGAAAATGTGATCACAAATCCACACTGCCACGAATGTTTTACTAAAATGTATTCTGTGTTGTCCTTTAAGTACAACAGGTCATTTTGTTGTGAGAATGTTGTTTCTCATCCTAGTATTTACCACATATATGTGGTAATGATTTCCTATATGTAATCATTTCCTATATGTAGGTAATGATTTCCTATATGTAGGTAATCATTTCCTATATGTAGGTTAAGATGTACTTGCATTGTGAGTGTTGTTTGAAGAAAATAGGTATTCTGGGTTCTGTTCATAGCTCTCACTAGTCCATGCATTTTACTTAATGACATCAGTTTCTTTATGTAACTGTTAGCCTAGGACAGGGTTGAGCGCTAGAAGTTCAGTGGGTAGAAAGTCTTGGAGGATATAGCTGGATCCACAAATTAATAACAAACATAATTATTTAACATAAATTTTGTTGTGATCCTGATAGTAGCTTTACTTTTGTAAGGTAGTTCATAATCTTTGTACACAGCAAAGTTTTACAAAATTATCAAAGTATCTGCTTAAATTCTTCATTTTCGGGGCTGGGGATTTAGCTCAGAGGCTTGCAAGCAGGCAGTCCTGAGTTCGATCCCTGGTACCGATAAAAACGAAAAACACACACACACACACAAACCTGCTGAAATTCTTCATTTTCTCACGCTTCTTATGCAAACTTCTCATGAATTTACAATTTTCAAGAAATTCAATTATAGATAACTTTTTAATATTGTATCATACCCTTGTGTGAGCTAGTTTGGTGGTTTCTAGGTTTGCTTTTGCTTTTGTAATTTGTAGGATATTGAAGTTACATTTTCACTCAGGAGATGATGCTGTCAAATACTGAGATAGTTACAGCTGTCTTTCTTCACCTGCAGAGACGTTCCAAAACACCCAGTGAATGCTTGAAATCTCTGATGTTACCGAGCCCTTTGTATACTGTTGTTCCCAATATGTACATACCTGTGATAGCATTTAATTTTTAAAATAGGTACAGTAAGAGATTAACAACAATAACTAAAATAGAACAGTTATAACACCATAGGTGTCTATTGAACAGATGTACTGTAACACTGTGGCGGTTGATCTGACAGCTTGCATGATGGTTAAGAGTAGTCCTCACTCAGGTGAGCGAGTAAAGTTGGCATTGGTCACATAGCTGTGTTTAAACTCAAGAACAGTATTCTGCCCAGGGCTTTAATAAGAAATCAAAAGTTATCTGCTTGAGGTTCAATACTAAAGAGAATAAGGTTGCTTCTTTTCTAATTGTATTTTTTTATAAATAACAGCAAAGTGGTACTTAGTATTAAAACATAAGAATAGCTGATGTTTGAAAAAAAAGAATAACTGATATTTGTTATTTTATAGGGTGACTGTTGGATCTGTATGGAACTCATGTCTACCTCGTTTGATAAGTTTTACAAATATGTATATAGTGTATTAGATGATGTTATTCCAGAAGAAATTTTAGGCAAAATCACTTTAGCAGTAAGTACTTGGTTTTAAAATCGTTCACTGTATGTATGATTATGTAAAGAAGCTAGTTGTGTTTTAAGACCTATATCTGAATGTGTTTATAGTGTTAGGATCCTCCTAGCAAAGAGATAAGAGATAGACTCGCTTCTGTGGGGTATTAATACACTAGGCCATAAAAATCAAAATTTGGTCAAGATAAATACTAAGAGTTTTTGTTTACTTTCAGATGCCAAATAATAGTAAAGGATTGTGTTGTACATAAGTCTACAAAAAGCTATTTTCTGTTCATTGTTCCCTGTTTGTTTAAGTAGTTTTAATTGGTTATATTAGCACCCATAATCCTAAATTAATCAGAATAGCAGAAGTCTCTTTGGAGCCCCTTAATTGCAGTCTTAGATGAGTTGTTTACTGTGGTTTAAGATTTGGGTTATCTAATCTGATCCATTTAAACAGTTGACTAGAAATTTTAGGAACCAGCATTACTATTAATTTGGTCTGTTTATTTTACCAGAAGTATCAGAAAAAAGTTTTTAATGTGTTATAGTTCCAAAAATGAATTTATGATCACTTTCTTTCTAGCTCTGAATCTTTTATTTGACAAATGTTTACAAATTCTTTTTCAAAGTGAAAGGTAATTATTTTTAGTAAAGCAAAATTACCAAGATTCTTAGAAATTCCTGAGAATCTGAGCCAATGAAATGTCCTGGGTTGTTAAATATAGACTAAAATATACAAGAAGTTCTAAGATTGATATTATGGTTGCATGTAGTTTTCTGCCTCTTTTTTATGCATCCTCTGCTATGATTTGCCAATTGTCAGTGTACCCTAGTTAATCATCATTGTAAGTTCATAAGGTTGGTTTAAAACATACTTTCCTAACAGTATTTTAGTTGTCAAAGATGTGTATGCTAATTTTAACTCCGTTAACTCAGTTAAATTGTAGTTATTTTATCTTGATAAATCTTATATTAACATTATTACTTTGCCAAATTAATCACAGCATTAAATTTTCGTGACAACTCTTTATGGTTAATGTATGATCATATTTTTAACAGATGATAAGCATGGGAAGGCTAAGTAATTAACTTGTTTCAGTGCTCATGTAGTTATTAAGTGGTATGTAGTTAAAAGACCAGGTAGCCTGGTCCTGGAACGTACTCTTAACACTGTGTAACAGGATGGCCATGAAATTAGAAAATTATTTTATTGTATATTGCAAATTTATGTTTCCTTGTGTTTCTAGACTTTGGTGATCCCATTGCATGTTAAGCACATGTTAAAATTACTTTGTATTAAGTCTGTTGTTCATTAATAAACTAACAAACATAGAATCACAACTACTTACATTTGAAGATTGTGTGTTGTACGCTCCTCATATTCAGAAGCTTGATGTTAGCAGAGATTTGACTTTTACAGCCAACTTTTGACCTCTTGCTTTATTCTATTTTAGCTTGAAATTATAAGTTTTACTTCACATATCTAATTTTCCTTTTGTGAAAAAGTCTCATTTTCTATTTATTATGCATTGCAAATCTGTAGTAGTAAATAAGAATCTGATTTCCTGATCATGAGCATCAGTCAAGCACTTGATGAATTGTGACTGAACTGAACGCTGGCTGGCAGATATCCTGCCTCTGCAGCCAGGACTTTTGACGTCTTAGCATCCAATGAGGGTAACTGATTGTGAGGCAGTGAGAACTTGGGAAAACTACTGACCATTACTATTGATGATGAATCAGCCCATTGGATTTTCTTATACTACTTTTATTCTTGAAAGGTTCAAGTTACGAGAAACATAATGCAACTTTTACTACATTGGGTGCTTTTTCTTTTTTTAAAGCTGATAGAGGACAGCATGTAAAGGTAGCTAAATTTTTAGATTTAAAAACATTTAGCATCTTCATTTAACTGGTAGAGTGCTGAAATATTGAGGAAACAACTACATGCAATACTGGTTGTGATGAATTATTGGCACTGTTTGATTTAAAAGAAACAAGTTTTTTATTCCGTCTCTTCTTTTCTCCTTAGACTGTGAAAGCACTAAACCACTTAAAAGAAAACTTGAAAATTATTCACAGAGGTGGGTATGGATTGCATTTTACTAGAAATTAACTTTTTTTTCTTAATAGGTTGTTCAGCAAGCACTCTGCCACCAAGCTACACCCCCAGTTACTACCTCAAGCATGTTGAAGCTATCAAGTATTTCTTTACTTTATAGGATAGTTTTGTGAATCGGGAGAGTTGTTTTACTTAACATTGTAAATAGAAAATTTTTGTTAAGTATGATATATTGGTAATAATGTTGATCTTGACCCTATTAGGCACAGATTCAAATTTATAAGCACTCGATGTAGTTGAAAACCAACTTAGAAAGGGAGCAACTCTACAGAATTCCTGAATTTAATTCAGCAAATAGATTAATACTTTATTTATTACTGTGACTCTGTAGTCTTATGGTAGCTTTGAAGAAGCAGAGTCACTGCCCTCAGTAAATTTGTAATGAACAAACTATGCGTAGCAATATGTGATTGAGCCTCACGATACATGGCAAAAAGTAAAAAGATCAAATTCATAGGACTGAACAAAATTCTTGAATTCTAAGAAGCATTATTTGTAGAGATTAAAGAAATTAGTAATTGGTTTATGTATTTAAGTACATGTAGTTCAGGGTTGACATTAATACTGATCATCAAAATAAATTACTGTTTTTCCTCACTTAATACTTGTTAAAAATAATCTTAAATCAACTTATTTTTGTTTGTGACTTAAAATAATGTAGTTAGGTTCCACAAACAAAATTGCTTGTTTCTTTTGTAGTTGATTTTTTCCTTTCATTTCAGCCATGCTGTATAATCATAGAGAGCATTTGACAATAGTCACTTTTCTTTTTATAAGTCTTTGAAGCTATCAAGTGGGCCATATAGTGACAATGACATGATAGGAGGATTGCAGGATGGGTAGATAATTAATGAGCAGAGGCAAAAGGGACCAGAGAACATACTGGCTTATTCTGGTAGGGCGCGCTCGGCGAGGAAGTGATTTGGTGTTCTCCACTTCAGGGTGCTAGTGGTAAAGATAAGGGTCGTGTCTCAAGGATGAGTCCAGGAAACACTCATTGGGAAACCTGCGTGCAACCATCGAAGAAGAGAAAAATCTCTTAGTGAGGAATAATGGAGTGGCTGCAGTATAGGGTTCATGTGCGGATTGCTTTCCCAGAGAGACACGTCTCTAATGAAGTTGTGAGCTCATAGTTTGTATACCTCACATTTAGTCGTATAGCTTTTGAAATTTATTATAGATTGGTTTTGTATTACCTGATAGATTGTTTATTTCACCTGTTGTGTTATGTAAAGAATTTGAACCAAGTAAATGAATAAAAACTTCTTGTTGAAAATGAAGGAAATATTGTAGAATGCTAAATTGATTGAGAAGTATGTATTGATACTTAATTTTTTCATTTTAAAGAGGGAAAAAATTTTCCAAATGAGTAATTAGAGCGCAACAGTGATTAATACATTGCCTATTGTTATTTTAGTTACTCAGAATATAAGATGTCCACATTTAATCGTCCAAACAATATTAATGTAAAACTTTCTTTTCAGTGACTTAAGAGACACTGGAGTGTGTGTGTGTATGTATATATGATATTTTTTACAAGCAAGAAAAACCACCAACAGAGTGAAGAAGCAACCCATAATGTGGGGAACAAAATATATGTGTGTGTGTGTGTGTGTGTGTGTGTGTGTGTGTGTGTATTTATGTATTTTTGTGTATGTTATGTTAATATACAGAATTTCTTTCAACTTCCCACACTAGGGAGACAATACGATGTTTACATATGTGAGTTTGTTTTATTTCAGTTGTAAGTATGGGCCCTAGGTGCATCCATTTACCAGCAAAAGCCTTGAGCTTATCCTTCTTTATGGCTCAGTAGTACTCCATTGTATAAAAATGCCACATGTGTCTTATCCATTTTTTGGTTAATGTCCATTTAGGTTGTTTCCAAGATCTAGCTATTCCAAATTGTGCTGCTGTAAACATGAGCACACATATATCGCTGTTGTACAGTGTTCTAAATGATTCTGTGAAGATACCACAGGAGAATAGCTGTATGAAATGGGCCCTCTAATTCTAGTTTTCTGAGAATGTCTACACTGATTTCCACAGTTGTTGCACCAGACTGCACTCTCACCTTTTTTATTGATTGTTTGATAATAGCTATTCTTTCTGGGGTGAAGTGAAATCTCAGTGTTATTTTAATTTGCATTTCTCAAATGACCAGTGCTGTTGAACATTGTTACATTGTGGTTTGTATTTCTTCATCTGAGAAGTGTGTATTCATCTCAGAAGGACATTTTTGGATTGGGCTTTTAAATTTAGGAGGTCTGATTTTTTTTTTTTCAATTCTTTATATGTTCTTGTTAGTAATCCTTTGAGGAACAGCTGGCAAACATCATCAATCTGTTGGTGATTTCTTTTGTTGTGCAAAAGTGTTTTAATAAGATGAGATCCCAGTTGCTGATTCTTTGTCTACTTTTCCTACACGAAGTTTTACCTATCCTGTTTTCCAGCAAATTTGTTTTAATATTTAGATCTTTGATCCATTTAGAATTTAGTTTAGAGCATGGTGAAAGATAAGGGTCCAATTTTAATCTTCTGCATGTGCAGAGCCAATTTTTCTAGCACTGTTTGTTAAAGAGGCTTTTGTTCAGTGAATGTGTTTGGCACCCTTTGTCAAAGATAAACTGACTTTGTGTGTCTGGAGTTGTTTCTGCATCTTATATTCTGTTCCATTGATCTTCAGTCTGTGTTTTTGCAAGCATCATGCTATTTTTTTTTTTTTAATCACAGTAGCTTTGTAGTATAATTTCAAGTCAGGAATTGTGATATTATTGTCTTTGCTATTCTAGGTCTCTTCTGGTTCCAAATGAATTTTAGGATTGTTTTGTCTAATTCTGTGAGATATGCTATTGGAATTGCATTAAGTCTGTTTTAACAGTTTTGGAAGTATGGCCATTTTCACTATGTTGGATCTTCCTACACAAGAGTATGAAATACCTTCTCATTTTCTGATATCTTTCCCCCTTTATTCCTTTTTTTTCTTTCTCTTGTCTAATTACTCTAGCTAAAGTTTTCAGACTTTGAGGACTTTTCAGGATTGTGTTGAATAAAAGGAGATAGTGGATATCGTTACCGTGTTCTTCATGTTAGAAGGCTTTCAGTTTTTGTCCATTTAGTATGATGTTGGCTGTTGGTCCATCATAGATGGCTTTTATCCGATTGAGATAAAGACCATCTGTTCTAATTTTCTGTAGAGTTTTATCATGAGTGTGTGCTGGACTTTGTCTGCACCTATTGAGATGATTATATGATTTCTTTCCTTGGCTGTATTAATGTGGTTGTTACTTTTATTGATTTGTGTAAGTTCAACCTTCCCTGCATCCCTGGAATGAACCCCACTTGATAGTCTTCTTGATGATCTGCTGCAGTCTATTTGCAGTGTCTTACTGAGGATTTTTACATCTGTGTTCATTAGGGAGATTGGACTGCAATTCTCTTTCTTAGTTGGGACCTTCTCTGGTTTGGTATTAGGGTAATGTTTGCTTCCAGGAATGAATTTGGGAGTATTGCTACCCTTTGAATTTCATTAATAGTTTGGGAAGTAGTGGTGTTAGAGCTTCTCTAAATTTCTTGTACAGGTCAGCAGTGATTTCGTCAGGGCCTGGGCTATTGGTAGGTTTTTCATTACTTCGATGTCACTGATTGGTACTGGTTTATTTAGGATTTTTGAATCTTCTTGATTCAGCTTTGGTAATTCATATGTGTCTAGCAATCTGTCCATTTCTTTTGCATTTCCATCTTACTAGAATCTGAGTTTTCAAAGTAGATGTAGATGCTCTTCTGGATTTCTGCAGGTCCATTTCACCCATTTCCTAATTGCATAGATTGGAGTGTTTTTTTTCTTTCTTTCTTTTTTTTTTTTTTTTTGATAAGGTTGGATAAAGGTTAGGCAGTTTTACTTAATCTTTCAGAGAACCAGTGCTTAGATCCATTGATTTTTTTGTGTGTGTGTGTTTTTAGTCTCCATTAATTCCTGCTTGGATCTTTATAATTTCATCCCTTTTGACTTAGCCTGTTCTTCTTTTTCTAGAAGTTTGAGATTCACTAATGTCTTGGTTACTTTTACATTTCTCTCATTGTTGGGGCAAAATACCTGATACCCAAAATGAAGGAAGGAAAGGTTTGTTAGCTCAGCGTTGTGGAGATTTCAGTCGATAATCAGCTGGCTGCAAGGCAGGGTGCCATGGCACGGGGGCATCACTTCAAGGCAGCAGCCAGAGCAAAAAGGGGAGAAATAAGTCTCTTCTTCTTATATTGTATGAAACCCCCACTCCCCAGGGTAGGTGTAGCACTCACAAAATCTCTGTGTTGTCCTTCTGCAAAGTAAGAATCCTGGCTCTCTGCTGAGTCTGGCAGTTAAACTTCTGAACTTCTCAAGTTGACACAGTATGTCAATCATAATAACCATTAAGTTTTTTTTTTTCCACTGATGCGGATATTTACTGCTATAAATTTCCCTCTTAGTGCTGCTTTCACTGTGTCCCATAAGTTCCAGTACATTGTGTAATTTCTTCTTTATTTTCATCTGGGACCTTTCAGCGTCCATAAGAGCCAAGTTCTCGGGGAGAGAAGAACGCCGAGAAGATGGAAAGTGAAAGATAGAGACGGAAAGCTGGGGTCAAATGCAGCCCTTCCTCTGCGTGGGAAGAAGAGACTGCTCAGCCATTGCAATTGTTTGTTTATACATTTGTCCTATGACCCCCTTTGCTTAACTAGCTCGCTTCGTATGTCCTGTGTTCTCGGGGCTGGAACACTCCATGCTCACAGGGCATTTCCGAGGCACTCCATGCCCGTTGGGCACTCTTGTTCAGGCACATGCGGAACTATCGCCACCTCAGCTGCTCCCAACTTCTCCCCCTTCTCTGTATTTGTAGTTGAATCAGTTGAATTTGGAGGAACCGTATTCAGAGAGCTCTGCAGACAACTTTCTTTCTTATGGTTATACTTTTCTGCTGGATG